ATCGCTCCTGTTCACATTTCACTTTTGTATTTCCCCCCCTCTTCCTCTATCATTACTCATTGAGTGCCCCGTGAAATTACAATCGTACATTTACAGCTCAGCAACCCATTTGTAGTGGGGGGGGGGAGTCTAAATAATGGCCGAATTAGCCCTACTGGACAGTTTCAGATGTAACACTCTGTAATAATTATATTGCAGGCTGGATTAGGATGCTATTATCATAATCTGGACGTTTACAATTATCTGTAATTTGCAAAGATGCGCCAGGTCTTGATTACAGCAGTTTTTTTTTTTTATCAAGCTAACCATCACTAAACAGTGACAGTAATAACAGCTAATTTTGCTGGCAATATAAGAGGTGCTGGGGTGTGCAAACAATTTCACACCTGGATATGCTCAGTCAACCAAGAATATAGAGAAAGAGCTTCTGCCCTCAGACTCAGAAAAATATTCTCCACCGCTACCGTGCACTATACATTTCCTTAGACCCTCATCTCTGCTTAACAGATTTGCACGGGGGTAAGTTTTTTAAATATATATATATTCGTCTCCTCTACTTCCGTGTCTCTTTTCAGTGGTAGGTTTTCACTCTCCGGTGGCGCCTTGCTTTTAATTCTTTTTTTAAAAATGATTTTTGTAACCCTGCTCTTTACCACGGTTCTTTCCCCCCCTTTCCTCCTCTCCCAGACCTTTGTTTTATCAAGTCACGACGACCAGCATTTATTTATTTCGCGGTATGTCCCCCCCCCTTTGTGATTACTAGATAGGAATGCGGGGTTGCATTGCTGTGGGGTTGGCTCGTCAGTGCCGGGTCTCTCCCCCCCCCTTTATCCAGTTGACTCGACCTGTCGGTGCTGCGTGAGTCACAGGTTTAGAAAGAAAGGGAAGGGGGGGGTCTGGCTCCAACTCGGTAGGCGAAGGGGGGGCCGCTCTGTTAATGTCAGAGGGGTGTCCGTTTGGCAGCCACGAGTTCGGAGAACTTCTCATTCTGTTCCTACGATTTGTTCTATATAGATCCAGATCTCAGGTTCGAGATCTACCCTCCCTAGAGCCCCCCCCCCCAATCTGATGTACCTAGAGTAATTCACTCTGTGAGTTGGCGGTGGGGTGAGGCGAGCTATTGGAGTCTTAGACCTCAATCCTAAACATACTAATCTGGCAATAAGGCTACAGTTCTATGCATCCGCTCCTTGGCTGCAAGTCCCTTTGAGTCTAATAGGATATATTTCCTTGTACCCATGCCTCGAATCTGTTTTGCAACCCCCGCTAGGGCTTTCCCCCCCTAGGTAAATTTGGTAAGGATCAAAGCGCTCGCTGCCTTTCTTTTTTGGGCAAAGTCTTCTCAATATTGTCTATCAAGACCCATGACAAGAAAAGGACTTCGAATAAACCCATCTTTTCGCAGCACCGTTATCGCCTATAAACAGATCTAAAACTCCTTTCTGAAATTTGCTGGGGATGGGGGGAGGGTAAACCTCGGCTGCTTCTGCCTCAAGTGCTGTGAATCGTACTTGGCTGGACGTTCAGTGGATCTCTTTAACTTGTCGGCTGCAAAACACCGGCCCGGCTGTAGACTCCCTCCTGGGTTTGTTGGCTGCCCTGGAGGTGCCGATTACTCGGGGGCAACCCGGGCCCCTATAACGCCTGGGCATTTTGCCATCCAGGTCAGTGGCAGGTGGATTATCTCCCCCCCCCGCCCCGCCTTCCCAGTACATCTGTCTCTTGGTTTCCCCCGGGTATGTATCCCTTCGTACCCCTTCTTATTTAAGAAGCTGGGAATGTTGTTCCTTACGCCAGAACTTCGGAGGAGGGGGGGGTGGGGTGAGCAGGGAGGTATTCCGTTTACCCCAATGGGTTTTTTTGATCGACACCTAGGAGGGAGTCGGTGTTCTTGTGGAACGGCAGAACTGTCCCTCTCCGGTCCATAGATGACGCTGTTTCACGAGTCTCCCCCTTCGGTGGCAGCCGGGTGCTTGATGCCTTCGCGTCCTGCTCGCAGTTGCTGCTCACCGAGGCCAAGAGGCCTGCCTTGCTTGCAGCCCGTTTACTCAGCCGCACTCCTCTAACTGTGGTTGTAAACGCATCCTGTGTCCAAATCTAACTTCTGATCCTACTCCTAAAGTAACTTAAAACAGCTGGGGGGGGGGACGGGAGGGGGGAAGATGAGAAGGAGGCACCCCCTTCCTTTCCACCCAGATCCACTCCCCGCAAAATGAAGGGGACAACAGAACCTCTCCTGCCACCCACCTCCAGCGAAATGAGACGATAGAACCCTGAAAATGGTAATGGGGAGGTGAGTTCATGTGACTGCGCAGGTATCAGAGAGGGGAGGGCTACCCTTTCAAAGGGGGGGAGGTTTGAATGTGTGTATGAAGATGGACGGATGAACCCAGGACCCAGTGAAGCCAAAACACCAGCTATTCAAAATGTGGGCCAGGACCATTACAATTAATGGCCAACGAGTTCAGTGGAAGGAGTGCCTCCTTAACTCCCCGATCCTAAACACGTTGACTTACATCTGAGTAATCCTCACTTTTGAAAGCCTGCTCGGAACAGAGGTTCTGCTCCCGGAGGGACGGCTTGTGGCACAGTTGCAGCATCTTCCTTTTCCTGTGGTTCGGTTGGTTTTAGGCTTCCCCTTCATCAGGCCCTCTTTGGGGACCGGATAGCCTGGCTCGTCTACAAAGGGAAAGGCTACCCCGGTCTAAATGCCTGATAGCTTTCTCTCTCTAACACGCATCTGAATAAATCCCGTGAACCCCACAACCAGCTGTACCTCAGAAGCCTCTTCCATTCTTCCTAGCATTATAATTTTGGTTAATTTTCAATTTTAGGTCCTACGTCTCTGCAATTTGTGTATGAATAACAGAATAATTTCCCTCTTTTGTTTCGCCTTTCCTGTTCCTGAATCTAAATAAAGATGGCTTTTTAGTATTAAAAGTGGAAGAAAATTACAGGTAATTATCTTTGACGGTAAAAACGCTGTAATCAGCGGGCTACATGAAAAATTACTCTAATTATGGCTGCATTTAAGAGAATGGGGGAAAAAACCTTCTTATGGATAAAAACCTTAAATTGTCCCCAATGTCTGCTTCAAATTGGATGGCACTGCAGCTGGGGGCTTTGTTCACAATTGATCCTGGGGAGAGCTGAACCCAAAGTTTCACAGTGGGAATGGGGAGGGAGGAAAAAAGAAAAGAAAACATTTCCCCCTCCTAATGTAACAATGCGAATGGTAGAAAATGACAAGACTTGATCGGTTTTAAGCCATTCTGAAGACTGACTGAGCGTGGAAGTTGCTCAACAAAAAACCGGCGCTGGTATATTGGTAAGTAGACTTGGCTTTTGTGTCTAATTATAGTGACTGTCCTTTTGCACGACTGTATGTAGCTGTCATTATATGGAGCACTCTGAGGATCTCCATTGACTTCTGATAAATGGCTCAGTGGTTTCAAGGTTCATAATTTGAAGGATGCCCAGGGCTCTAGCCATTAATTCTCGCAGCATGGGGCATCCTGTTTGTGTGACGAAAGGGGGCTTTTCATGTTTCATGGTTTCTCGCCTTTGCGCGGCATAGGAAGGATATCATTCGCTCCGGACCCTGCATTGTGGACCGGGGCACCCGCGTCAGGCGCTCTGGAGCATGAGGCGGCTCCTGTGCCTGCGGAAAGCCCACCCACACAAGGCAGGCACCTCTCCCCGCGTACCCTTCTGGCTAGAACCCGCCGAAGCCCCCCAGAGTCGGAGGCGGCGGTCCCCACTCGGCTGTTAACACACAGCCCCTTGGGAAGAAGAGATACGCCCGCCAAGGTCCTGCAAGATCCGGCGTTCGCTTCCCAAGGGGAAGACGCCGGCGGCCCGGTTAACCTAAAGACGGCCCTTGGAAGCCAGTTTAGTTTTTATTGATTTCTGCGGAGGCGCAGCGGCTTAAATCCACCCCTTTACTGATTAGAATGGGACGCTTAAAAACAACAACAACAAACCACCATGCAAAAGATCACACGACCTCTTTCCTGATAGGTAACCAGGTTGACGATCACCCCACTCTCTCCCCAAACCCGCCCGCCCCTTTATGACCGGCTGGTGTACCTGGTACACAGCTATCACTGATCCCCACCCGCTTCTTGGATCCCTACAGATAAAGATGCGGATCTCTTTCTCCCTTTTTTGCGCCACCACTTAATAAGGGACCCTTCCTCCCTGCTCTTTCTGGATGGACCTTATAAGGGCAGCCAGTTCACGAGACTTTCCTTCTAGAGCAGCCCTGCTGCTGGAGTCAAGATGAGAGGACTGCTAGGTGGGCTGCGTAGCTGCAACCCCTAACACGCTTGTTTAGGAATAAGCTGCGTTGGAAATTAGGGGGCATCCGGGCAATTTCCTCTAGCATGTTTACAGCCGGGACAGTAATATTCTCGAGACTGGGGGTGGGGGTGAAACGTCTTTCTGAGACTGGGAGAAAGGCAGGCCGCTATGGACGTTTTGAGGCTTTTTACTCTATATATGAAAGGAGACAAAACATACAAAGTATATGTACAACTGAAATTCAACAATATGTACAGCAGGTTTGTTCGGTAGCCGAGAGATCACGGGGTGGGAGGGGGGTCGGACATTTTACCCTTCGAATCGGGGGGAGCGGGAGTTGGTGCGTTCTTTCCCCGCCCTTCTTCTTCTCCCGGGGCCGCAGTCCGCCAGAGAGGCTCTCCTGCCCGGGCCCCGCTGGAGCGGCGGAGCAGAGGCGCGCCAGGACGCGGGGCCTGCTGGTCAGTTCCAGGGGCTCTTCGCGTCCAATGGTGCCTTGGTGGGGAGAGCTGGGCCGCCCTTTCCCTCCGGGCAGCTGTCACTTCCACTAGGAGAAAGCAGCAGGCAGGCTTCGCTTCCGGGTAGCGTCCCCGCGTCTTCATTCCGTTTTGGGGTTGTTGGGTTTTTTTGAAAAAAAGGTCTTCCTCCCCCCCCCCCTTCTGAAGGGTATTCTCCCTTTTAAAACACCCCCCTTTCCCCCAATCTATTCTGTCAATCTCGGTTTAGCGAATAAAAATAGGATAGCTTCTTTTTTTCATTAAAGGAGTTCTGGTTTTGCGTGTGTGTGTTGTGTTGTGTTGTGAAGTTGCTGGGTCCACGGCTGGGAAAAAGTCTGTAAAATGTGGTCGTTTTGTTTTTGCTTCTGCTTTGACTTGTACTCCCAAGAGAGACGCGGTGCCTCAGAGTCCCGCTGGAAATATCCCAGAGAGGCGCATCTGAAGAGGGCTGGCAGCGCGGACGGTCTCGTTTCTCTTCGAGATCAATGGCTGAGGTTACAGCGAAAGGGGGAAGGCGAAGCCACCCCGTCTGCCTCCCTCGCCACGCACTCCAATCCACCCCGAGCCCCGCGAGCTGGTCCCCTCGGCAGGGCCCTGCTGGAGACCCGGCAGCTCCGGGAAGCTGTTTCCCTTGGCCCGTTCACATCATCTGTGGTCTCTGCATTGTGTCTTGATGTGGAGAAGAGTACCAGTGAGAATAACCAGGCATGTAGCTGTTGGGAGGCATGTTGACTCCTTTGGCAGAGGCTGAAACGTCCCAGACAGGAGGAAGGCCGGGAGACCGCGGGGACAGGGTGGCAGAGCCCGGCAGGGGGTCGCTCTCGTGGGGGTTGCCGCCTTGCTTGAGCAGTTTCTTGAACTTGGAGCGCTTGTTCTGGAACCAGATCTTCACCTGCAACCGAAAAGAGGAAGCCGTGAGAGGACCGTCGGTGTCCTGCTAAGGGGGGGAGGGGAGATATGGAGGGGAGGGGAGGGGGCAGAGAACTCAGATTTTCTTTCTTTCTTTCTTTCTTTCTTTCTTTCTTTCTTTCTTTCTTTCTTTCTTTCTTTCTTTCTTTTCAGGCTGGCTCAGCTACCCGCGTTTAGAATAAACAAGCTATTTCCCTGTCAGAGTCGTTCACTTGGCACTGGCTGATTCTGCCCATTAAAAGTTTCACGCGTATGATAGACGCGTCCATTCAAGGCACCTACGCACGCAAGGACCTGCAGACGTGGAGGCTGCCTAATTACCCAGGCTCAACCACCGCTTCGTAGTTACCCGAAGTACAGCGGTCAGGCTACCCATCCAGACAAGTGGATGGATGGGTCCCTTCTGCCCC